TGAGTCTCTCTGTGAGTCTCTCTGTGAGTCTCTCTGTGAGTCTCTCTGTGAGTCTCTCTGTGAGTCTCTCTGTGAGTCTTTCTGTGTGTCTCTCTGTGTGTCTCTCTGTGTGTCTCTCTGTGTGTCTCTCTGTGTGTCTCTCTGTGTGTCTCTCTGTGTCTCTCTGTGTCTCTCTGTGTCTCTCTGTGTCTCTCTGTGTCTCTCTGTGTCTCTCTGTGTCTCTCTGTCTCTCTCTCTCTCTCTCTGTGTCACCTTCTCTGTCACCTTCTCTCTCTGTCTGTCCGTCCGTCCGTCTGTCTGTCTGTCTCTCTATCTATCCATCTAACCGACTATCCATCTGTCTATCCATCGATCCATCTATCCATCTATCGATCTACCTATCTACCTATCTACCTATCTACCTATCTACCTATCTACCTATCTACCTATCTATCTAGCTATCTATCTAGCTATCTATCTATCTATCTATCTATCTATCTATATTTTTTTTTCTTTCTTTCTTTCTTTTCTTTCTTTCTTTCTATCTTCTATATATATTTCTATCTTTCTATCTTTCTATCTTTCTTCTATCTATCCATCTATCCATCTATTGATCTATCGATCTACCTATCTACCTATCTACCTATCTACCTATCAACCTGTCTATCTATCTTTCTATATTTCTATCTTTCGATCTATCCACCTATCCATCTATCCATCTATCCATCTATCCATCTATTCATCTATCCATCTATCCATCCCTCTCTCTCTCTCTCGCTCCCTCTGTCACTCTCTCTCTCTCTCTCTGTCTCTCTCTCTCTCTCTCTCTTGGTAGCGGAATGTAGCTGTAGTTGTGATTTTAAGTAGTTCTAGCGCAGTTGCAGTTGGAGCTGCAGCTGTAGTTGTAGTTGCGTGCGCATTTTCGACATCTCAACTTCCAAAAGGGCTCCGACGCTGAGGTGATTTCAACATTATGACTCTGACTTAGAAATGTGCTTCACGCCACAATGGCGCGCACTGTGTCAACATCTCATCTTCCAAAAGAGCCCCGAGAACGGTGTGCTTTGCACACGCCGTGCACTCTTGCAACATGTCAACTTCCAAAAGTCCTCCAAGAACGTTGTGCTTGCTTCACGCATCTTGGCGCCACAACGGCATGCACTTTTTCGACATCTCAACTTCCAAAAGGGCTCCAACGCTGAGGTGCTTTCAACATTATGACTCTGACTTGGAAATGTGCTTCACGCCACAATGGCGCGCACTGTGTCAACATCTCATCTTCCAAAAGAGCCCCGAGAACGGTGTGCTTTGCACACGCCGTGCACTTTTGCAACATGTCAACTTCCAAAAGTCCTCCAAGAACGTTGTGCTTGCTTCACGCATCTTGGCGCCACAACGGCATGCACTTTTTCGACATCTCAACTTCCAGAAGGGCTCCGACGCTGAGGTGTTCTTAACATGTTGACTTCGAAATATGCTTCGCGCCACAGCGTCGTGTAATTGTTTATCTCTCATACGACCAAAAGGCTTCGCACCCGCCACTTTAGCAAGCCCACTTTTCGACCCTCCTGGGCCACAAAACATTGGAAAAAAACAGTGTTTCGCGTTTTTCTACCTTTTCGCGAACCTGCATCTTCTTTCTTCTGACTCGTTCTCTTCTCTGATCGTCTTTCTTATTCTTTTCTCTTCTCTCACTATTCCCGCCTCTGCTTTTCATTGCTTTTCCATCTGTCCATATTGTGGGAAGTTTCACTTCTAAACTTTCTTCGATGATAAGAGGGTCTACGCACTTTGACAAATCATTGTCCAACTCTGCTGGAACTGTTGATGCCAAATGCTGGAACTCTTTTTCTGGATTTTGCGCTGGTTTATCAGGCCTCTGCTACAGATCCTTCTGCCAAAGCCTCCCTCGTTCGCAAAATATCAGCCCTCCTGTGGATGACAGGAAGTCCCTATCTTTCCTGACAGCAACGCATTCCTCGTAACTCTGTTCCTATTCACCCATTTTTCACCAAATTGATTCCCGTTCACCGGGATTTCCTTGTACCAACGGAGGGAGGGCGTACACAGCCGTGCAGCGCCAGGTCATGACTCAAAAAAAACCTTTCAATGTGGTGGCCAATGTGCCACTGTCGGCGGAAGATAGTATATCATAGTATACTGTTTCGGTGACTCCCACAAAAATGGATGCTTAATCAGCATTAAGAATTAAGCACTCGAGATAACATAAGTTACCACAACATAATGCAGTTAAGTTGGGATCTGCGCAACAAACTTTCCGAATGCCAAGTACCGCATCAAGCAGGTTCCGCCTTACAAGTCATGCTTGGACTCTGCAAAAGAAAACGCACTCGATGCCAGCCGGAAAACACTTGTTGTACGACCAATGCTATGATTTTCTTCCAGCCATATCTTGCAATCCCATCCCATAATCAAATAGCCCGAGACCCCAAAAGAAAAAGATCCAATAAGAAGGGAATGCTGGTTATAACAAACACTAATGTTAGGGGTCAGGGTCGGGCCACTGCTCACTATACCTAGGGCCTCCTCAGACTTAAATTTCAGCCCGAGCTCAAAAAGGCTGTTTTTCTGCCCGAGTTCTTAAAATCCGCCGGAGTCCCAAAAATCCACCTGAAGCCTTTTTGAGTATGGTGTTTTGGCTTCAAGGAACACCAAAAGCACGCAGTTCAGGAAAATCCGCCTGAATAGTGGGAGAATCCGCCCGACTATCGTCTTTCAAAATCCAAAAAAAAATTGGAATGAGCCTGCCCTGGTTGTAATGGCAAAATCTGACTGAATGGCAAAATCCGCCCCAGGTTTAATTTTCAGCCCGAGGATCTAAAGGGATCCTTTTAGGAAAAGGCTTAAATTTTAGCCCGAAAGGTGGTGCTAGGTATAGGCATTGCATGTTGCTGTTTTGTCCAAAAGACAAATTACTAAGTCTAAATTGAGCAGGTCAATTTTTTGAAATAGAGGAGTTTTAGAAATATAGTTTTGTTTCGGTAGAAATTAGTAGAAATTTCAATCTTTGTCAACAAGAATTTATCCGGCAAAATTCGACATAGAGGCATCATTCTGGCTTTCTGCGCATGGCCGATCTGCCTGCTGCATGCAGCCATACCGTACACAGCAATGCGGAATGAGCGAAGAAGGAAGACCTCGCTCGATTCTTTCATACATTCGTTCGTGCGGGGACGAATCGTCTGCAGCACCTTACTTTGCAGAATTCTGAAAAGAAATGACAGCCGAAGGGAGGACATCCTGCGGACCTTCAGACTGCGCCCGTGAAGGGATAAGACTTCGACTGTGCTTCCACTTCATGCGGAATTCAGAGGGCATCAGATTTGGAAGAGGTGAAACTATCATGGGGATCTTTGACTATATAGACTATATATCATTAATCGTCTCTTATTGGGTTTGTTCACAAAAACACATGTCATATCTTACCCATGCTTTGTCCATATTATATCCAAATATATAATATATCCCATTACCTATCAGTAAACTAACATGGATGTGGAAAATCAACCATTTGTAGACTATTCTCCAGAGGAAACCACGGCTTTCCACACCTATCTAGACGTTTACCCTAGGGTATATCCATCTGAAGCTTGAGTTGAATCTGTTGTCCTCCAGCACAGGCAAGTTCGGAACATCAGCCAATCAGTGCATTCCCCGGCTTTGACCATGTCGCACTGTTGCTGCTGATGGCAATCGCATTGCTGCCGCGGTCGTTGCTGCCATTGTCGCCGCCTTTTGAATTCGAATAAGGCACATAAACAAAACATTGTTATCTTATTCAAGCCTCAAATTGCCTTCATCAAAGCAATATTGACTGGACAGAGACGCAAAATGTGATACCAAAAGAAGGACAGCATGACATATAAAATTGTTATATGATCTATTTGTGTATATAATATAGCAAATGTACATAGACTGTAACAGAAAAACACAAACACACAAGGACAAACAAAAGCGGCAATGACAGCACCAAGACCAATACAACCAACAAGAGAAACAATGGCAACAAGACTTTGAAGCAAGCACAACCCCGGTAACGCTATTGGACAACATCAAAGCAACAAGGATAGGGAGAAGGAAGAAAAATCAGAAGCCGCGACACATCAGCATTTCTAGTGAGAAATTCAAAGTTGTTACAAAAAATCTGCGGATCCATGTCTTTGCTGGGAAGGTACTTACCCCAAAAACACATCTCTGAATATTCACTTAAGAGGCACTTTGATCCTCACCCAAAAAAACCTTTGTCTCGGCTGAACTGTATCTACAGTAGCAAATCTTTTCTGATCCCGTCCAATCTTTACCATCCGATGCCATCCTATTCTACGTAGAGGAGACGTTCAATCATGCGTCTATTCATTCACTTGTTTAATGTATCTGATTGGTGGTTTCAACCCCTTTGAAAAATATTAGTCAATGGGAAGGATTATCCCATATAATTATTATGGAAAATATTCGAAACCACCAACCAGGTATGCATGTGTGCATGTGTGCATGTCTCTATGTATCGATGTATCTATGTATTGCACGTATGCATGTATTAAATACGCTGACATTTGCACCCACCGCCAAACAAAAGCGGCTTGCAGCCAATCAAGAGCTGCCTTCAAGCCACAACCACACAGATTACTGATGTACAATGCATGTTCTTGATTGAAACTCCTATGAATTATAAGACATCAATTGGTTTCATTGGTTTCATAGGTTGTACAAAATGTGTATCTCCCAGCTATAGAGGGAACATCCCGATATAATCATTATAGGGGTTGCATATTGATTATCAAGCACGGATCCGATTCGTGGGATGCACATCAACAGCTCGACCTTCGCCAGCAACCTTCAAACGTCATGTGTTTCATGTGTTCGTCATCGCCACTTGGGACCCAACGCGCTGCCAGTACCAAGGCGATTTTCATGGGGGAAATTCTGGTAGTCCTTCAGTTGTGGGGAAAAAGAGGACGCATACATGGAAAGCTTAACCATCTTTGACAGTGTTTAATTCACCATATTCTGGGCAGCCCCAAGTAAGAGGAAACAGCACAAGCGCAGCACGCCTCACTGATCCTCACAGTGGAAAGAGGAGCATCACGGGACCGCTTCCTACATCATGCAGCAGCGGTCCCTCACCTCGTGCGGCCTCGTAGAGGCGAAAGATCTCGCTGGGCAGGCACGTTGCCAACCTCGCGGGCTTGGAGTGGGCCAGCTATGGCCCGAGTTATACCAGTTTTGGATGTCAGAAACCTGATGGAATGATAAGCCCAATTATCCTCAAAATCACTAGTTTCAAGGGCTTGAACTGCAAAAAACACATCATGGGAATCCCTTTTTAACACGCCAGTATAATGGGACTGTATAAATATCAAGGGGTATAAAGGGCCCTCGCCATCGCTTGGTTTTGGGGAAAACACGGTTAAAACCGTGGGGTTAAGCATGAGCCATGAGGATTTGGGGTTATCCTATCCCATCCAGCTCTGGTTGAACCCCCAAGTTGCCACACATGATATCCCCACAAGGGAAAAAAACATCACCACATTCCCCTCATCACTAGATATCTCATCTCTTGTTGGTTACGTCCATCATTTCGAAAAGTCTTGGTAGCTTCTTGGCTCCTCAACCGGATACACAAAACCTTGCAGGTCAGCCCCGGATGTTATTCACCTCCGGTTTCTTTTATTGGGGTATGATTGTAACCGCGAATGACATCACTATTCGGCACTCCCAGATCATTAATCAACCAGGTTTGATTTGTGAATAACTAGTTATATCATGCTATATCTAGCTATCCACTTACTCGACCGAGATTATATAGATAGTCAATAGCGAGTCACTAGGCATCTAATCAATCAGCCAGGACAAACTGATCAGTGGTGGTCCAGTCACTGGGGTGACGTGTATGACGGGTAATCCAAAGTAACCTTAGTCTGTGGATTCAATATAAACTAGTATAATCTTCATTTGCAATATATGAACTGATTTACATAGAAACATATAGCAATGTCAGAAACAGTAGCATATGATCATAGTGTAGTTAAATTACGTTTTAAACTCCAAGGTATATCTGTCATGTTTAACGAGTGCTCCGCTTGGCCAAACATCAACGATCGCCGAGCGGCAACTCCAGAAGTGCTGTGGTCGTCATCCTCTCCAAGACACGTGTCAACTGCACCTGTCGTGACCTCAGCAACTTGACCTCCCAAATTTGGACAGATCCCGGATAACTCGAAACAAACAATGTATACATACATACATATATATATACACACACTATATATATATACACACATAAATACTACATATATATATATATATACATATACTATATATCTATATATACATACCTATAGAGTTTTTCAGCCCGAGAAAACCGGTTATCTTTATAATTATAAACGAGGATCATTCCATGAATGGGGTTGTAGCTATAGCTTAAATTTTTCAACTGGTAAAACGGCCATAACTGTAATAGCTTCATGGGAAAATACGAAGGTCATTTGATGTCGGTTGGGCTCCAAGTACAATAGCTTTTTTTCAACCAGATGTGTAATATTACACACACACTTATGGCCCTTTTACCAGCTATAAGTTATAGTTATAAGCCCATTTATGGAATGATAACCCCATTTACAACTGGTAGCGGGCTTTGGCTTTACAGTCACATAAACAGTCCCCGAACTAACACAGACCATAGAAATTAAGCCATCGGAAAGGATGAAAGTCTTCAAACCCTAAAATATCATGGCAGATTCGTCATGTTAGTTGGGGGGTGGGGTCTCTCTTGATTGTACATAATATGTATATATATATATATATATATGCAGTAATAGTATAGTAACGATTACTTAGTGGTACCACAATATAGCAATAGTTATTATTTATCTAGTACTAGTGGTACTATGTTTGTTGTTCACAATAATAACTAGTCTTACCACCCGAGATAGGATTTTATGTTTTTTCATACTGGGGATTTGACTATGTATGAAAAAGGGGATGCAACCATCAATTTTTGAGATATATCTGCAGGCTTCCTAAAATATGGGTATCCCTAAATCATCCATTTTGATAGGATTTCCCATTATACACCATCAAGCTATTGGGAATCCACCATTTATGGAACCCCGCATATATTTCAAGATCCATATATTCACAATCATCATATGATCATATCATAGTAGAACTGAAATATACTGTAACATATTAATGTCATGCAATGATATTTAATGTCTATGTTTAGTAATAATAGGTCTATGTTTATGTTTAATGATCATAATATAGTACCCCCTTGTTTTTGTCCAACTCAGGGCGCGACTGCTTCTTGCAGGCGACCGAGATTGATCCTTCCCTGTCCAGCACGAAACGACGCGATTTTTTCGGGGAATTTTGTTTCTATATTTACGATAGATCACTATAGTCACTATATATAACAATTAAATCTTGGTTTCTGCTGTTGGAATGATTCATACAAATCGTCGGAGGATTGAGTTCTGACCATTTTTCGTTGAGTCTGACAGATAAAAACATGTGCTCTCTCGGCAAGGTATCCAAATATTCATCCCAGCAAACTGTCGGTTCGAATTCCATCCCAGCTCCTGGTGAGAAAGGTTGAGCCCATGTCGCACGAACTTTCCACAACACAAACATGAACAGAAGCATGCTAGTAAAACACAAGTACAACACCAAGCGGGGAGTAAGAATGGACTAGGTGCATGTAATGGTCATTTACATAAAGGGGTACTATATGAATCATGGTATAAATATGGTATTCATTGACAGTCAGAGAAACCATTTTTCTTTGTCGGGAAAAAAAGACATCGCAAAAAAAAAAAGTCAAGTTGGTTTTCTCTGGGCCCTTCTCCCATCTCCTCCCATCTTCTCTCTGGACGCTGAAGACCTCTCCCGGGCCTCTCCGACTTCTCCATGGCTTTCTTTAACTCTTCAACAAACAACACCTGACGAGAGCCCTTTGAGGTCATCGGAGTGACCACAGCATCAGAGCGACTGGGTATATTAATTGTATATATATAGGATATATATATATATCCTATATATATATATATTAACTATATATATAAAACCTATATATATATATATTATGTCTACAATGTGTGTATATATATATATATGTGTGTGTCTGCCTTATAGATCTACTTGCAAGAAGCAAATCAATTTCAAGACATCTGGGTCAAAAAGATGGGGCCGTGCCTCGATTCTGGCCCGTTAGGAACGAAGTATGGATGGATCCGAAAATGATATATTTATATACATATGTATTATATTATGTATATTAGTTATATATATATATATGTTATACGATATTATTCGAGTATTATATTAAATAATATTACATTATATAATATAATATAATATCATATCATATTATATTGTATTAAATCATATTATATTATACTATATGTTTTTCTTATTATGTCATATTAAATTATATTATAATTATATATATATGTATAATATAATACATATACATACATATATATATATATATATACATATATATATGTATATGTCAGTAAGTCACCGCATGAAAATGGAATGATCAGCCCCACTCACCTGCTCAGAGAAGCCTTCCATCTTTTGAAGGATGATGGGTGCAATGAAGACCACCTTTTGACCTCCGAAAAATGGAGGTTTCCTAAGTCATGGGGGTACCCCCAGTCATCCATTTATAGATGGATTTTCCATGAAATAAACCAATTATAAACCATCCAGCTATTGGGATATCCCCATTTCAGGAAACCTCCAAATCAAAAAACTGGGAAGCAGGAAAAACCGACCGTGCAAAACCGTTTGTGACTGTAGCTGCTTCCCGTGACCCCAGTTATAAGATGTTACAAGATATTACAAGTGGACTAAGCCTGTCTAGCCAACCCTTTTTTCGCCCAGCTTATGACCCTTCATCCTTAGCGTGAAACAATAAAGAAGAGGGACATGTCTGGCCTGATGACGGACGTCATCCCTTTCATACCCGGCCAAACTCGGACTTTATTTTTTCGGTGGACTCGGTTGGTCACATCCAGTTATGGCCATGGCTATCAGTTATAAGTACTTATATACAACCCCATTTATAGAATGTATGATCCCATTGATAACCAGTTATAACTGGCAAATGGAATGTAAATGGACATAACTGATCCTTCATTTATCCCATAAACATTCCGAAGAACTCCTTGAAGGATGGTGAAATCGCCATTGTGAATTCATGTGTGCACACAACCGGCCGCAAGAGTATCACCTATTCAACCAAGCTTTGCCCATTTGAGGACTGTCAAACACCTCGAAAAAATGTCCCAAATGGTGGGGATTCATGGCTCATAAATTATGATAACCCCTGATATATATATATATATACAGGGTATAACTTAACAACGCTAATCCCCCTATGTGTTCATCATCATCCATCAAACATAGTTGTATTCCAGCAGTTTTCATAGCAAAAAAAACAGCACATACATTGAATGTTGGCTCCCCCAGAGAGCTTGGTTGTTTTGTAACTCCAATAACTAGGGATTATTTTTCACGTTCACGATTTTCACTGGAGGTTATAAGTTATAAAGAGTAATAAAACAACGACTTTAACTCGTCGGGGGCGACCCGCCGGCCATCGCTCCGCCGAAGATGTCGCCTGCATCGAGAGACTGCAGGAACTGACGCTGGTGTTTGTTGAGACGAACCTTTTTGCTGTGAGGGAGGTGGCAAAAGCCACATGATGCTCCAGCATCACAGTAGCCATTCCTCAGGACGGAGCACTTTGGCAGCCGGTCTGCGGATGTTGGATGTGAATGGATGTGATGGGTCTGTTTTACATGGGTCCAAATGATGCAGATTTACATCACACATTTTCATGTTGTCACCACAGCAGCCGTGTCAGTTTTTACCTATGACTGAGAAATCGTTCCTGAATCGCGGTGAACGTTTATTTTTTAACCAGCATGGGTCATTAAATGTCCCCATTGAACATCACCCAACCATTAGGTATATGGTCCATAATGGCTACTATAAGGTGATGTCCAATATACCCAAAATGGGACAGTTACCAACCCCTGACCAGTGACCAGCAATTTTCATGTGGAAAGTATACCACGGCTATCTGCAGCTCCATCTGACTCGTCCAATGGGGATCATCATCCCATCTCAGACGAAACACGTACATCAGACCGAATCACACAGCAGTTACGTGTATATACATACATATATATATATATATATTTCAATAAATATATATATATATATCATATATATATATATGTATGTATATATATATATAGATATAGATATAGATATAGATATCACTGACTCTCAGAAAATTCAACGGGCTAATCGTTTCACTATTGGTCTTGTCTCCCTTTTCTTGTCGTGTCTCCCTTTTTCTGCTTCGAAAAAGCTCAGACCTCGGGACTCTACGGCCTGGAGAAGATGGGCATCATGCTTCAGATTGATCTACTCACCATTGAATATTATTCGACTATTTGCCAGTTTCAATCATTTTCATACAGATTTTAAAGATAATCCATGATAATTCTGATGCAAAACCATGAAAACACTTGAAAACTGCGAAGAAACATGGAGAAAGCCTTCAGTTGCCTTGAGACCAGACCAAACAAACCGGCTGTTCTTTGGTACTTGTCACCTGAATTTCATGTCTGATGGGCGCTCTTCCTCCCGCTTTTCATAGAGGAGTTTGTGTCGTGAAATCCCATGTCAGGACAGGCAGAAACTAAATGGCCAACAAATTCACAGGACTTGGGAACTATTCGAATTTCTCCGGATCAATGGGTACAATGTTTGGCGCCATGGATGCAGGTTGATTTTCATCCAATCCACTTGTAGATATCAACCCTAGATCCAACTGTTATAGAGATAAACATGATAAACCCAACAGAAACCGGTCTTGAAGGCCCCACATTGCACCTGTCATTTCTATGGGAAACATAAAACGCTAGAGTCCCGCTATGTCCCCAGCTGCTTCAGATCTTCGATACACATCGTGTGACCATCGTGATTTGATACAGGCCGGGTTTCTTGATCATGTGAACGCAGGGTGCATTGCAAAAAGCCTCGACTCGAACGAGGCTAGGGCGGCTAGGGTTCATCGGGGGATCAACCTCACCTTCTTGGGAGGTGGTTGGAAGAGGGGCGTGAACACGGTGAACATGCTTTGCTGTTATGTCTTGCGGGGCACATATATACTCAATGATATAATATAGATCTACAAAACTGTGTACATGTTGATATACATTATATATACTGGATCAAATATACTACAAGTGTATGTACAGTGATATATTCAACACAAGAATAAAAAAGGCATACAGTTCCTCTTGATGCGTGCCTTTTGCTGCAAGGGACTCAGTTGGATCGGCTTGGTAATGGCCCTGCTTCAGAAAAATGGGTCAGATTTCCACTGTTTCCACCTTGGATCCATGGCTAACCCTTAAGCCTTTAGCAATGTCCTCTTCTATTGTGTTCTCACCCTGCTGTCGACGATTTTGGGGAAGCCCTTTTCTTTAAATCAAATAGGCTAACTAGTTTCATTCGAGATTGTGAACTAGCCCGCCACATGTCGTTCAGAGCCACCCATGGTCCTTGCCGTACTGGACATCTTATGTGAACACCTCAAGTAAGTAAGGTCCAACAAACATATCGAAAAATAATGTACTTGTACCCGTACGGTATACTGGTATTTTCATTGACAAATGGAGACTATGATGATCGATAAGTTGATTTTGGTTGTGCGAGTACCCTAGTCCACTATACAAATAAATAAATAAACAAATAAATAAATAAATAAACAAATAAATAAATAATGTATATATATGTATACGTATATATATATGTATATATTAAATAATATGTATATATATATAAATAAATAATATGTATATATATATATATATCAGGTGTATGTATATATATATATATATATATGTATCAGGTGTATAATATATATATATATATATCTCCAGAGAACTTGTTTAGTTCGGGAAATTACGGCAGCTGAAACCCTGATTTTTACTCCACAATTGGTGGTAAAGCCTGTCATTTCCCATTCAAAAAAAGTCTCGAAACTCATAATCAACATACCTTCGATGGAACAATCTTTACGTTCTAATCCCACCCCCCATTCCTATTGAACACCTCCCACAGGATGGGCCCCCCCAGTTATGTTTGTTGGATTATAAACCATTATAATATTTATAATTAATATATAACTCCCATGAACTAGTTATTTATATTTACCATAAACATAAACCATCGTTTTTGTCGCCGCTTTTTTTAGGCGTTTCTGAACGCGAGCTCGACTGAGGGCCCCATCTTGCATGGTCTCCAAGTGACTGGGTGACTGAGGGAACCCATGCTCATTATGCTCATCTGCAACATACCTGTGCCGTCGCTGACATCCAACCAAGAAGGGGTGCCCAAACTGCATAGGTTTCTGTTGGTTTAAAACTATAGGTGGACGGGGGGTTATTTCGTGGACATGTATCATGATTTACATCTCGCAACCCCGCAACAAAAAAAACGAAAAGTCGTTCCGAGATGTGAGTTCGATGATATTTACCAACTATACAAAGTGGTGGTTGGTCGAAAGGTTTTTTTCCCAGAATTACTTTCGCAACTTGATTTACATTTTCCTCACTAGGATTTTTGGACCGGATCCCAGGTACATTTTCGAGTTTCCCAGTTTTTGCCATCAATGACTTGGGGGTCGATATACAGTTGGGTGAGAATACACATCACTCGGCGGGTCCAGCAACAAGGCTCGAGAAAGAGGTCCTAGGGACCAACAAGATTTGTTCATTTCAGTACTGTAAACATGGTACATTTCTATAATTAATACATGTTTTTCAGTTTATGTGTACACATGTATTTGTATGAAATGGATTTTATATAAGACACGTAGATAGATAGATCGACATAAACTAGCTCTAGAAAGACCATATATACGCTTGATTGTGTTGAGCCACGCCGATGTCTTCTGTTGAAGTGCCTTTTTTTGTTCACCTAGCAGTCCAAGTTCTGGTTTGCAGGTTTCATACCTTTTCCAAACCGTTGTGGTATTGTTGCAAGATGTTGCAAGCAAAGCATGGACGAGCAAAAGCCAGCAAGAATGGAACTGGAACAATCTTGCGAAAATGCTGTTTTGCGCTCGCCGATACTTACATAAATACATAATTGTGTACGCATATTATATATACACATATATAATATATACACATATATAATATATACACATATATAATATACATAAATACATAATTGTGTACGCATATTATATATACACATATATAATATATACAAAATATAATGTATATTATACATAATTTATGTTCATGTACAAACCTTTTTGACCGTTCCATTGAAATTTACAGCCTTGATCATTTGGGCCCAAATAATCATGGATTTTGGTACGGGTAAGCCTACAAAGCTTGTTTGGTTCGAACGCTTGATTTTCGTTTTTTGCCATTACAGGCGGACACAGTATTTGGTCCAATAAATCTGCACATTGCAGCCTTTTCCAACAACAACCAGAGAAAACACGGAGGTTTTCAAGGGGCAGGTGTGTATGTGTGTATATATATATACATAAACAAATACATAAACAAGAAACAATATTAACGTGGATGGATCAACACATGGAGACATAGGGCATTGGAAGGGGATGATCAAGGAATGACAAACCTCAAAGCGATCTCTGTTGCGCATCATCCCGGGCTTGCGCGTACGAAAGAAATGACCCAGTAGGCTTGTCTGATAATGGGGTACCCACCAAGTCGAAGGGAATACTATATTTTATTATATGTTATTATATATATAATATATTATATATTAAATATTATACATTATATATTATATATATTAAATATTATATATTAAATATTAAATATTACATATTATATATATATATATTATATATTATATTATATATATTATATGTTATTGTATATATTATATATTATATATTATTTATTATATATTTTATATTATATATATTATAAATTATATATAATATATTATATATTATATATTTTAAATTATGTATATTATAAATTGAATATAATATATTATATATTATATATTATAAATGAAATATTATATATTATATATATATATATATTAAAAAAATATATATTATATATTACATATTTTATGTTATATATTACATATTATATATTATACATTATATATTATACATTATTTATTAAATATTATGTATTATATATTATATATTTATATTATGTATAATATATATATAATTGTTATTATTATCATCATTGTTATTTAGTTTCAGTATATATTATCAAATATTATTATGTATAATTATATATATACTTATATACGTATAATTAACATCATTAGAATTCCCAATTTTGGGGTAATGCAACCCATTTTGCAGGCTTACCCAAATGTTTCAAACCACCGCTAACCAGTAAAATGATTGTTTTGCACATGTGAGGACTCTTGGGTTCTCGTGAGTTTGCAGCCGCAAGAACCGAAGGATGACTGCAGTACCACGGATGATTGCAGACTGAAACTCCGACAACCGATGCAAATGCCATGTGGACATGATGCAATCTACACATGGAACATATGAAAACAACCATCAAACAACCCACATCTAGGATCTGAATTGTCCATACACTTAAAACCCTAGTGGGGTGGTCATTCCTTCATGGGTGACTGACATCCATAACTGGGGTAACTGGGGCCATAGCTGTAGGATCTTTTCATTTTCCACCTCCCCAGTCCCAGGAGTCCCAGGGTCCAAGGCCTGGATCGTTCTTCACCAAGTCCTGCCTACACCCCTTGATCAGCAAATGCTGAAAACAGCAAGGTTAGACGTGTCAAAGTCTGGACTGTGACAAGTGCGTATGGGAAAATTGCCCAACGAAAGTCCCATGTTTCATCATAAACTGAGGAATTGCGATCATTGGATTATACAGCATATGCCATACATGCCATATTTGGAGGAAACAAAACCACGTCGGACTGGTTTCCCAAAAATTGTGCACCCCAAAGTGGGCCCATGGGTCCCAAGTTGGGAGAAAACCATGGAATAGATGTTTTGCAAGTGAGGATAGCTATCCCAATTTTGAGCCATGGCCATGTGTGTGTGTGTCTGAAAATATAGGAGACCCAATTGCCAATGAATGGCAACTTTGAGGGAACATATGCTGATATATAATATCGTTTCGAATTGGGGGTACCTTATCTTAAAACAATCAAATATGTTCATATATTTCTTACCGATTCCCAACAATGTGACTTTCCCATTGGGAAAATCAACAAAACCGCCTTATCCGCCTTCAGCAAATGCACTCGACTGGGTTCGCGTTCAATATTGAATATTTGAGACACTCTAAGCCTGCTAGTTTGACCTTAGCACCAGAGGCAATGAATTCAGATGTGTTCATGGATCAAATGTGGCTACCATAGGGTAAACGTACAAAAACCTGTGGAAAACACATGAGGAAACACGTTCAGAAAATGATCTATACTTTTATGGTGGGTTAATACCACATCTATGTCAGCGTTGCTGAGCTACCTCTGCTGAGATCAAACTCTCTGGCGGCGGCCAGATCTTAAACATTCAGAAACGATATATCCCAAGACCCAGGAGAAATTGCCACTGGATCGAGGTACCCTCTGCAAGTCTTAGATCACTTGGAGGGTTCACTTCAAAGAAAAAATTGAAATGTGATTCCAACTGTCTAGGCAGCGCCGGGCTTGTTTGCAAACAAGGCCAGGAAATTCGAAAAAACACGGCAGGCTCTGGGGAAGTATTTCTGCAAAGCGGCACTTTTACACCAAATTCTGCTCAGCGGGGTCGGCACATTCTTGCGCACTTTAAACATGTATATAGTGTGTATATATATATATATAGAAATAAATGTAATACTATAACATAAATTTGTATATATATATATATATATAAAAATCCGAGTACAGATGTATATTAAACATCAATACCAGTTGTACCGCGCAAGGCGATGGCCCGCAGTTTTAACACGGCAGGCTCTGGGGAAGTATTTCTGCAAAGTTGCACTTTTACACCAAACTCTGCTCAGCGGGGTCGGCACATTCCCGCGCACTTTAAACATGTATAGTATATATATATATAGATATCCGAGTACAGATGTATATTAGACATCAATAATTACCAGTAGTACCGCGCAAGGCGATGGCGGAAGTTTCAACGATAGAACATTTTTGGGCAGGTGAATTGTGTGATGATGATGGATGGATGGGGGAGCGAACCCAATGAACCCAGGTTGAGGCCCTGAGTCTCTCTGTGAGTCTCTCTGTGAGTCTCTCTGTGGGTCTTTCTGTGTGTCTCTCTGTGTCTCTCTGTGTCTCTCTGTGTCTCTCTGTGTCTCTCTGTGTCTCTCTGTGTCTCTCTGTGTCTCTCTGTGTCTCTCTGTGTCTCTCTGTCTCTCTGTCTCTCTCTCTCTCTCTGTGTCACCTTCTCTGTCACCTTCTCTCTCTGTCTGTTTGTCTGTCCGTCCGTCTGTCTGTCTCTCTATCTATCCATCTATCCATCCATCTAGCCATCTATCCATCTATCCATCTATCCATCTATCCATCTACCTATCTACCTATCTACCTATCTATCTTTCTATCTTTCTATCTATCCATCTATCCATCTATCCATCTATCCATCTAGCCATCTATCCATCTATCCATCTATCGATCTATCTATCTTTCGATCTATCCATCCATCCATCCATCCATCTATCCATCTATCCATCGATCCATCGATCCATCGATCCATCGATCCATCGATCCATCGATCCATCGATCCCTCTATCCCTCTATCTATCAATCTATCAATCTATCTATCTATCTACCTATCTACCTATCTACCTATCTACCTATCTACCTATCTACCTATCTACCTATCTACCTATCTATCTATCTTTCTTTCTATCTTTCTTTCTATCTTTCTTTCTATCTTTCTATCTTTCCATCTATCCATCTATCCATCTATCCATCTATCCATCTATCCATCTATCCATCTATCCATCTCTCTCTCTCTCTCTTTCTCTCTCTTGGTAGCGGAGCGTAGCTGTAGTTGTAATTCTACGTAGTTCTAGCGCAGTTGCGGTTAGAGCTGCAGTTGTAGTTGTAGTTGTAGTTGTAGTTGTAGTCGTAGTTGCGTGCACATTTTCGACATCTCAACTTCCAAAAGGGCTCCGACGCTGAGGTGCTTTCAACATTATGACTCTGACTTCGAAATGTGCTTCACGCCACAATGGCGCGCACTGTTTCAACATCTCATCTTCCAAAAGAGCCCCGAGAACGGTGTGCTTTGCACACGCCGTGCACTCTTGCAACATGTCAACTTCCAAAAGTCCTCCAAGAATGTTGTGCTTTGCACATTTTG